CCTGGGATACCTTTCAAAGCCTGGCTTTTACCAGCCACCAGGAAACCTTTGGTGGGCGGACTTCCCTAGCCTAGATTGTTTCATGTCTGGAAATCTTCTGTTTTCTGAGGGCCACAGCAATGCGTGGCCAGGTACAGCTAATTAAGAATATATGGTGATGCTTTCTTTGTCCATAAATAACATCTCTTTTGTAATGTTTTGTTGTGTTCTGTTTTTACATTTTCAACCTCTTAAAAATTGACTGAAATCCAAGCTTGGGAGAGCTGCTTTTCAAACTACAATTCTCAGCTTCTCAAAAACAAGATAGTTGTACTAGATGAGGGTTGTAAAAGTTATTTATTTTTTTTACAAAGAAGAATTCTGAATTCGGAGAGGAATAATTAATATTTTGTCTTATGAAAAAAAACCCTATGTATATAAATATAATATCGACATCTGATCTGTCTCAATCGATCTTTAGTCCAGAATTTTGAGCTGTTCTTCTTCAGAGCCATTAACCACACAATCCTTTCTTTCAAAAAAGCATGAGTGGTTCTGTATGTCCTCTAATGAAGGCTCTCAAATTGGATTATCTTGGTCACATTACCAGGCTGAATTCCAAGGCAATTGAACCCAATTCACACCAGATGCCCTGCCAGCAATTCCTCTTTGTCTTTGGTCACATGATGACTCTTGCTACCACAAACATACAAATAAACGCGAGCAGAGGAAATGTTCCCAGATTTTTATTTTCTTTTTCCAAAATAAAATTATTGTGGCCCCTAGTTCTTCAAATAAGCACAGTACAGTTTTAGCAGGCGCTTGTGCAAAGTTATATGACTGATAAAAGAAACATAGATTGAAAATGGTCTTGAAAGTGGAATGGAAATGAGCAAATTGAATGGAATGATAGGAAATCATTTAGGTACATAGCGCGTGAGGCTACTAATTCTGATACATTTAGATGTCACAGAATATTTAGGGATAAACTAAAGAAAACTGCTTTATGTTTTCAGTATATTTACTGTGGTTCTTTTCCTCACAGAAGAATTATCCATATGCACAAATAGGTGGCTATTTCCTTTAATAAACAACAACAACTTTTTAACCCACCCTCTCTCCCTGAAGGGACTCAGGGTGGCTTACAAAGACAAAAACTAAATAGAGATAAATAAGAGCAAAAACAAAAACAAAAAACAATTAAAACAAGCAATTAAAATTCACAAATAACAATAATTGTTAAAACAGGTAATAAGTTCCATAAATAACATAGTGAATAAATAGGATCAACATGAGAAATCCTTTAGATGTGTATTTTCCTAAGGGCCCTACCAGATAGGGCCCAAAATGCAGGCCCAATCAGACTTTACCTTTGGCATCCAAACAATGTCTCAGGTAATAGAGGATTAATTTGGGACAAAACAGGGGGGGGGGAATCCTCCTTCCCCCTCACCCCCACCACCTGGCACGTGCTTTTTATGCGTCAGAAGTATTGCTGGGGCAGCCTCATGGTGACCCAGTAAGAATTTTTAAAATTTTAAGGCTTTGGGCTGGGGGGTTGGGGTGGCTCCATTCCAGCTCAATCGTTACTGTCAGGGTAGGTAGAGAGGGTGATCAATGCTTTCTTGGAAGAAGGCAAAGTTGCAACTTGTCTAAAGAAGGCACTTGTGAGACCTATATTTATAAAGCCATCTCCAAACCCCTCTATAAAGGGCATCTATCAGGTAGCATCCAACCTCTCCTTTTTAAGCAAGGCTTTGTAGTGTGTGGTGGCATCACAACTCCAGGGATTTCTGCATGAAATGGATTATTTAGACCCATTTCAATTTGGTTTCAGGACTGGCTATGGAACAGACAACTTCGGACACCTTAGTGGGTGACCTATGAAAGAACTAGACAGGGAGTGTGCCCCTTTTGGTAATCCTGGATTTCTCAGTAGCTTTCTGTGCCATTAACCATTGTATCCTTCTGGGTTGTCTCGCTGGGTTGGGACAGGGAGGCACTGTCTAAAACTCTGGATGACCTTTCCCAGCAGTTTCATGTATATGTTAAACAACATGGGGGACATAGCTCTGGTCCTTCCTGGAGGGCTGTACCCAGAAGGTGGTGCTGCGGGACTCCTGTTCAAACCATTGGCCATTGCCTTGTTCCTCAGGGTTCCATTTTGTCCTCCATGCTGTTTAATTTATACATGAAACTGCTGGTAGAGGTCATCCAGAGTTTTGGCGTATGGTACCACCTGTATGCAGATGATACCCAGCACTACTATTCCTTTCCAACTAATGCCAAGGAAATTGTGCTGACCTTAAACCAGTGCTTGTCATCAGTAATAGACTGGATAAGGGCAAACAAATTGGAACTTAATCCAGATAAGACAGAGGTACTCATGCTCAGTTAGAAGGTAAATCAGAGAATAAGAATGGGGTTGCAGTCCCCCTGAAGACATGGGTCCACAATTTGGGGGTCATCCTGACCTCGGCACTGAACCTGGAGGCCTAGGTGTCGACAGTGGACAGGAGGGCCTTTGCACAATTGAAACATGTGCACCAACTGTGCCCGTCCTTGAGAAGCCAGATCTGGCCATGGTGGTATATGCCTTAGTTACATCCCGTCTGGATTACTGTAATGTGCTGTATGTGGGACTGCCTTTGGAGACTGCTTGGAAACATTAGCTAGTCCAAAGAGTTGCAGCCAGGTTGCTGGTCCAAAGAGTTGCTAACTAGGACTGGCTGCAGGGAGCGAATAACCCTGCTGTTGCAGAAGGTCCACTGGCTGCTAGTGTGTTACTGGGCACAATTCAAAGTGCTGGTTATGACCTTTATAGTCCTATAAGGTCCAGGTCCAGGCTATTTGGCTGACTGTACCTCTTTGTAAAATCTGCCCGGGCCCTGGGATCTTCAGGAGAGACCTTTCTCTCTGTCCCACCTCCATCTCAAGCTCAGTTGGTGGGAACGAGAGAGCAGACCTCCTTGGTGGCTGCCCCTCCACTCTGGAACTCCCTGCCCAGGGAAGCCAGAATGGCCCCCTCCCTGCTGTCCTTCTGGCAGCGGTTAAAACCCTTTTTTATTCAAACAGGCATTTAAAGAAGGTTTTTAAGATCATTTCAGGCACTGCTGTCATTTTATATATTTTTATGGATTTAATCTGAATTGTTTTCAATACTAATGATGCTTAATACTGTTTTAAAATTTGTATATTTTAAATTGTATTGTAATGCTTTTAATGTGAGCCGCTTTGAGTCTCCTTGTAGAGAGAAAAAGCAGGATATTATTATTTTACTGACACAAATACACAGTATGACGCAGCAAACGAGAGATATATTCTGGATTTCATATCACAAAATCACAAATCGAACACTTCCCAAGTGTTTAGGACCGTGTGATATATTTTTGAATGATGCGCGCAGATCCAAGTAAGGTGGTCTTCTGCAGTTGACAGATCATGATTTTATCAATGTTTATTTTTTTCAAATGCCGGCTGAGATCTTTTGGCACGGCACCCAGTGTGCCAATTACCACTGGGACCATCTGTACTGGTTTACGCTAGAGCCTTTGCAGTTCAGTTTTGAGGTCCTGATAGCAGCTGAGTTTTTCCTGTTGTTTTTCGTCAATGCGACTGTCACCTGGTATGGCAGCATAAAAAATCCAAACTTTTTTTCTTTTCCACAATCATGATGTCTGGTGTATTGTGTTCCAGAACTTTGTCAGTCTGGATTTGAAAGTACCACAGTATTTTTGCATGTTCATTTTCCACTACCTTTGCAGGTTTATGATCTTAACAGTTCTTTACTACTGGCAGGTGGTACTTGTGACATAGGTTGCAATTAATCATTTGGGTCACAGAGTTGTGCCTCTGTTTGTAGTCCGTTTGTGCAATTTTCTTGCAGCAGCTGAGGATATGATAAATGGTTTAATCAGCTTCCTTGCACAGTCTGCATTTTGGGTCCTCAGCTGATTTTTTGATCCTGGCCTTAATTATTTTTGTTCTGATGGCTTGCTCCTGGGTGGCAAGAATCAGGCCTTCTGTCTCCTTCTTCAGTGTTCCATTAGTCAGCCATAACCACTAACCCTAAGCCTAACACTATTATTATTAATAGAATATAGTTTTAATTTAACATTAGAAGAAACTTCTTGACCATAAAAGCAGTTCAGTCATGGAACCAGTTGACAACGAATGTATCTTTCTTTGGATGTCTTCACAAAAGAGGCTTTATTTATTTATCGTGTCATCCGCAACCAGAACATTGTATTACATTTCTAACAGAACAAAACAAACAAACAGATTTTTTAAAAAAACAAATTTTGCAAACTTGGCTGGGCAGCTACTTGTTGGTGATAGAGATCTTACTCTGATTAAGGACCTATGGGGCCCCTTCCAACTCATAAGCCTACTGTGTGGTCTGTTAAGCATCCATGAGGTCAAAAATTGGCCCTTAGTCTCTTCAAACTTGCCAATTCTTGGTTTAAACTATGAATGCTTGAAACAAAAGAACGAAAGAAAGCATGGTAATGTTAAGCTATGATTAAACCTAAGATATGAAAAACATCTCCTAGGTTTAATGTTGGACCACAACAAGGTCTCGCAGAGCAACGCACTGAGACTTTTTGATCTGCAGCGACTTTTTGTCTTGTCTGCGTTTAGATGTAATCCTGAATTTCTGAAAAGGGGAAGATGTTGAAAGAAATTTCTTTCCAACACCATGTTGTTGTGAACAATCTGTGAATAATAATGGATACACTTATATAGGTTTGGCTCAGGTGGATATATGTGTGTTGCCTTTATTTTTCAACTTTTCCTGGATGATAAAATTTTCCCCATCCCCAGGCATGTTTGGATACTGCTCTATCAAAATATATTTCTTAGTATCTGGAGCAGAAATACCAATACCACCATATGTAAAGGCAATTCTGTATGGCCACAGTTTGTAAAAGAGCTTTCTACAGGTGTGTGCTTATGAATATGTCATATTTCTTTGGTTATCTTTTTATACGGTCTGATAATGTTTTCTTTTTAATTTTCAGGAACGAATAACAGCATTGGAAACAGTAAGTGGATGATTTTCATGTCTCTATTTTTCTTTCAATTGCATTTTTTCACAAATTTGGTTTGCAGTATTTTCATTTATTAAAAAAGCTAAATAGGTCTGGCCCAGTTAAGGAGATTTTACAAACTATGAATCGGCTTCTAAGAGTTTTGTATTTGCCAGTTGGCCGTAATAAACAAAACAGTGTGTAAAAAGCTGTAGTACATCCGCATGAGGTCACTTAATATGGAGATGTGTTAGTAACGTCAACCATATTTTAAAGGTCAACAGGAAGTATAAATTAGACAACACTTCAGGATATGTTTGTACTTAAAAATAACAGGTGTGTCTAAGTGTCAGTATTAACAGAACATTTGGAAATTGCCATGGGGATGTTGAAAGAACAATTGTATGGATACCAAAAACCCAAACAATATTATGACTTCAACCACTGGTCTGAAGAGCAATGTATGTTTTTCTTTCCAAGACTGTGAAGGTTCTTGAAGATGTGAGTAGTAAAAAATGTGCTGTCAACTTGCTACGCACTTTTATCCAGAAGGCAAGCTTGGTAGTGTTTCACAGGGACACCGATGGTACTGTAACTTCTCCACATTGGACAGAATGTTGCAGGGCATCACTTGGAAGAACTCCCTGGATATTACTGAATGAAATCAGTAGTGGTGATGAATAAAAGGGGTTTTTTTAAAGTCATTACTACCTGTACTAGATGGTGGGTCTTGATTTACACTCTATACCACTCCTTCTTAAACTATGTGTCCTAACCCCAAATCTGGCTCTTTAACTCATTGTGGAGTTTTGAAAAAAAAATCTGAACATCACTTAGTGGCTGTTTTAGACATTTACATGAATCTGTTGTGCATTGTTTACAGTGGACTCTGCAGAAGATGCTTTGGCTGTACTTTATAAAAAGGAAAATCCTCCTTTTTAGCAAGGCTTGCAAATGTTTGATTTTTTTATATCTGATTTTATATGCCTATATACCCAGGGTTATGTAAAAATTCCTTAGGGTCCTGAGTGGAAAAGTTTAAGAAGCTCTGCTCTAGACTATTTTATCTCCATTCATTTTAGTTGTTCTACCATGTGAATTCTAGTGCTCTTTTATTTTGGTTCACTGTTCCCAGCTCTTCAAAAAGTCACAGGGTATGATATCTATCTACTTTAAAGCAAAATATTGGAACATATGAGACATTCTGCATTAATGATTGTTTACTGTTTTTAAAGCCGGGGGGTGGTGTGGTGGTGGAATACTTACATTTTTATATTAGGAGATGTCTTGAAGATGAGACTCAAGATTAAACATGAAAATAATTTGTTTTGAAAACACCTTATATACATAGCCTGTGCAATAACTTTGTGCTTTAAGTGAAATTTGCATACACTGAACCATCAGAAATCCGAGGGGTCACTATCTTTACTAACCATGTGAACAACTTTGGATTTGGGAGTATTTTGGATTTTTGAATTCTGGATAAGGGATGCCCACCTAAACCTCTCCACTGGCCTCCAGTGGAAAGAATGTCTTTGAGGGGCTTCATTATGGTAGACATCCCCTCTACACCTGATTGCGTAGAAAAGCTGCTGGCATTCATTTTCTTGCTGACAGTGTTAAAACACTACAACCTTATAAAGAGGCAAATTGAGGCTGTCACTCATGAAATATTCTTCCTCTCTTCCCATTTCCCTCCAAACTGAGCATGAAAAAGACCCTGTACCAAGTAAGAGACATAACTTAATTACTTTCTTCTGAAGTGAATTACAGCCCTTGCCTTTCCCAAATTAATTACCAAAGTATTTCATTAAAATAGTCAATTCATAGCTTGTTATTGTAGTCCCAGGGTGCATCTACAGTGTTCAGTGAATGCTGTTTGATACCACTTTAATTGCCACATTTTACCTGGAATTTTCAGAATTGTCATTTGGTAAGACATTAGCACTTTTTAGCAGTGGAGGCTAAAGACCCTGCAAAACTCCTATGATTCCATAGCATTGAACCACAGAAATTAAAGTGGTATCAAATTGCATTCATTCTACAATTTAGATGCATCCCTATTCTGACACTAGTCCTCAGCTTATTCATGTGATACTGGTGCAGGTGATTTTTTAGTGCTTTAGAATAAAGGGGATTACTTCCCCCACCTCTTATTACCCAAGAGGTAACAAATCCATATAAAATCCAGAGGTCTCATTTGACTTCTGGGTTTTATATATTTTTGTTACCCCTTGCTATTTGCAGTGACTCAAAGCAGGCAATAATACATTTATTCTAAAGATTTCCCTCCTTAGTAGTGTCTGCATGCTGTAGGTCCCCGTAGCTGTATGGATTCTGACCGGTTGGCTCTGCAGGTTGATACAATTTTTCACATTTCTGTCAAAGCGGGAGCAGGATAAAGCATAGATATTTACAAAGCATGCTGTAAAACCTCTAAGACATTTAATTTAAAAACCTTAAAAGTGATTTAAAGATTAAAACCAGAGAATGTCACATCAGGATTCTGAGCTAAATCCCAGAGAATCCACTGAATATGCTTCTTTACAACTCTGTGGCCATGATCAATGACCAGCAGGCATGAGTAATGCTGTCTGCTCTTTATACAACCCTCTCTTTGTTGGCCTGGTATACTAAAGTCAGGAGTACATATGGAATTTTTGGATTTCTCCAACTCGTAAGCAAAGGATCAGAGAAACAAGCTCCAAAACTCTGCATTACTTTGCAAAGTACAGCCTAAAATTTAATTTTTCATTCTGTTGTTAGAAAGGTTATACGTCTCTCCAATCACCCTGTTTTCTCTGTAAGTTGCTATTGCCACACATTTCTCTATCTTTTCTGCTTCTTTTTTAAAAAGAAAAAATAGCATAACAATAAGCCGTAAGGATTGTTCTGTTCCAATCTGGGACATTTTTGGAAGGGAGGGGAGATTCATTCGTTCCTGTCCCTGTCTTTTCACTTTAGGAACAATTTTTATGGCTTGTTATTACCCTAATAGGAACCAGGAACTCCACCTTCACATACTGAAAGAAGGGTTTGCAACTAGGCTTCCTACATGTCAGTGGAATGTCATTGGTAGCCGAGTTTAACAAATACCTTAAGCAAAGAGGTTCCTCCTTTCACCTAATTTGTTATAAGGGGTTTCATCTGATGGGCAAAAATGCCCTTTGTATGACACTTTCATTTCATGTGTGGCATGGAGCCCACAGATTCCCATCTTATGATGTAGATCAACTTCCTGCGGGGCTCTGTGCCACAAGTGAAGTGAAAACATGCTGCTACTGCAGCAACACAAAGAGCTTCCAGTGTTTCAATGGAAGAAAGCCAGTGGCAGATGCTTCCCCCGTGGGATGGGGGGAGGGGCAAGGTGGGGAGTGAGGCAACAGGTTCCCACCGGATTCTGCACAATTTGTGGCAAATCCCATCCTTAATGTGATGAGGTCCTTAGAGTGCATGAATGTAGATAAGGAAGATGATGTGAAACATGGGTTGGAATCGAATGGCATGTACTCCAAATACAACTTTCCAAAATCATTTAATGTTCTGGGTTTTCTTCTCTCTCTCTCTCTCTCTCTCTCTCTCTCTCTCTATATATATATATATATATATATATATAATCATCTCTCCAGAAACCAAGGAGTGTGCTTCTTCTATAACACAAAGCCCTTCCCATCTTGGTTTTTTTAAAAATCACATTTAAAGAAGAACCAGAAGTGTGATATTAAAATTCCTTCAGTGGGAGATGCTGCAACTGCCTCTGGAAAATGGCCTCTGGACCCTCCAGAGTTTCCTGGTGTGGGATATGCGATAGATAAAGTGGTCTTGGTTGTTTTCTCTGCCTGCAGGCAGCTTAAACATTATGAATTTCTCAAAAAGTGAAGAATAGCTCAACAAGTATCATGAGTACCAAGAAGATCTATGTGGTCATTGTTGTTTTTGGGTTATTTTCTGTAACTGCCTTCAGCTATATGGTTGTCCAGATCAGTGTTTCTCAACCTGGAGGTTGGGAACCCTAGGGGGGGTCATGAGGGGGAGTCAGAGGGGCCACCAAAGACCATCAGAAACTATAAATTCCAGCGACTATAACTCCCAAATGTCAAGGTCTATTTCCCCCAAATTCCACCAGTGTTCACATTTGGGCATATTGAGTATTTGTGCCCAGTTTGGTCCAGAGCCATCATTGTTTGAGTCCACTGTGCTGACTGGGTGTAGGTGAACTACAACTCCAAAACTCATGGTCAATGCTCACCAGATCCTTCCAGTATTTTTTGTTGGTCATGGGCATTCTCTATGCCAAATTTGGTTCAATTCCATCGTTGGTGTAGTTCAGAATGCTCTTGGATATAAATCCAGCAACTACAACCCCCATATGACAAAATCATTCTCTCCCCCCCCCCCCCCAACCCCACCAGTATTTAAATTTGGGCATATCGGGTATTTGTGCCAAATTTGGTGAATGAAAATACATCCTGCATGTCAGATATTTACATTATGATTCATAATAGTAGCAAAATGACAGTTATGAAGTAGCAATAAAAATAATGTTATGGTTGGGGGTCACCACAACATCAGGAACTGTATTAATGGGTCGCGGGATTAGGAAGATTGAGAAGCACTCGTCTAGATAGAAAGATGCCCTTTGTTTTTGTGAAGACAACAGCAGTAAGACACACCTGACCTTCCAGAAATCGCTGGACTGCAATTCAGATCAGCATTCTTTGCCATAGACACTCATAAGAAGTTTAAATGAACTCCAGTCCATCCATATCTGGAGAAACACATCTTCTCCATTCTAATTTTGCAATTCTCCTGTGGTTCAGCTGTTTTGCACAAATGCCACTAGTTTTCCTCTGATTAGAATGATTATCCAAAGTATGAAGCTTTGTTGTAAAAGGCATCATTTTATAGTCGCCACACTTCATTTTTCACTCTAAGGCAGATATTTTGGAAAACCAATGTCTGGCGAGGGAGGTGTTTTTGGCTGTATAGCATACATACCTTACAATATTGTTTTT